TTCTATTCTATTCTATTCTATTCTATTCTATTCTATTCTATTCTATTCTATTCTATTCTATTCCTATTCCATATTTTCTATCGTATCCTATCGTATCCTATCGTATCCTATCCTATCCTATCCTATCCTATCCTATCCTATCCTATTCACAAGCCAAGTCAATGGGGAAGCCAGATTCTCTTAACACCCGTGTGACTAACTGAACAATTGCAGCGATTTACTTAACAACGGTGGCAAGAGAGGTCATAAAATGGGGCAAAATTCACTTAACAACGGTCTCACTCAGCAGCAGAAATCTGGGGGCTCAGTGTGGGGTTGTAAGTCGAGGACTACCTGTACATGCTATGTCCATGTCCTAATACTGTCTTATGAGCCTTGTCTTAATATCCTCGTCATATCCTTTATCATGTGTTTATTAGTGTCGTATATCAGTAACTGCCTGACTTCTGTAGATGCCATACTCTAAATAAATAGATCCTGGTGCCAAGCAAGTTAAGACTCATAAAATCCAAAGGCTGGAAAGGACCTTAGAGGTCTTCTAGTCCAACCCCCCATGATCAGCCTGTGCCTCCCTTAAACAGGGATTCTAGCCCCCTTTGGCACGTACCCCTTCTTGTCCATCTCATCCACATCCTCCACGCGCATGCCAAAAATGAACAGGTTTTCCTCGCCGGCTTCCTCTGCCATCTCCACGTTGGCGCCATCCATGGTGCCAATGGTCAGAGCCCCGTTCAGCATAAACTTCATGTTCCCAGTTCCTGAAGCTTCCGTGCCAGCTGTTGAGATCTGCTCAGAAAGATCAGCTGCAGGGATCACTGCGCGAGAAAAGAAGACGAGCCGGTGTAAATGAGATCTCGGGAGTCCAGCTGGAACATCTTAGACTAGAGAAGTGTGCCAAGGATGCTTTTTCCAAAAGGCAACTGGACTTTTGTTTCTCCTCGAAGACGTTTCGCTTCTCATCCGAGAAGCTTCTTCAGTTCTGACTGAATGGTGAAGGGTGGAAGGATTTATATCCTTTGCAGTCCTCTGGTCGTTAGTACTCTTTCTGAGAGTCGCTGAGGCCACTTGGAGGTTAATCACCTAATAATGCAAATGGGTGTGGAACTTTCTTGGAACTGCTGAAAGGATTGTGTTGTGAACACACTGAAACTCCTTTCAGCAGTAGGTTCCACACCCATTTGCACTATTCAAGGTGACCCTGAGTGCACAGATAAACCTCCAAGTGGCCTCAACGACTCTCAGAAACAGAACTAACAGCCAGATGACGGGTTTCACACTGTATTGTGTAAAGAAGCATTCCTTGACAATCCACATCGGGGGATCCCAGCCAAAGGATGCAGGGGTGGGCTGCTGGGGGTTCGCAGGGGTTCAGGAGATTCTAAGATTCTGTGCAGTTCGGAGAACCCCCCCTCCCCCAAATCCCCCTCCTGGCTGGCCCCGCTCACCCCACCCCGCCCAGCCCAAGAGTCCCCACGTGGCCTGTTTTGGATAAGTGCAAGGCTCACGCAGAAGCTCAGGGAGGGCAAAAAAAGGGTCTACTGGAAGTTCAGGAAACGGGCCCATTTCTGGCCTCCAGAGGGCCTCCGGAGCCTGGGGAGGCTGTTTTCACCCTCCCGGAGGCTCGAGAAAAGCCTCCGGAGTCTGGGGAGGGCAAAAACATTCCCCCTTGCTGTGGTGCAGGAGGCCAACTAGGCCACGCCCACCATGGCCACACCCACCCAGCAACCGGGCGGAGAACCCTTTGCTAAAATTTTTGAAGCCCACTCCTGAAAGGCAGGTCCAGCAAGCAAGACGTACCCTTTTCAGCTAGGGAGACTCGGTAGTTTTCCAAGAAGATCACCTTCAGCCGGTCACCAATGATGGGATCGTGGTTGATGATGTCTCCGATGGAGGTAAAAAGCTTGATGATCATTTTGGCCATGTGGTAGCCAGGAGCCGCCTGTGGGGATAAGAAGGGGGCTTTAACCTCCCTTGGGGGGACCCCCCCCCCCCATCCAGCTTGGAAGAGAAGCACCTGTTCTACCTACTAAGAGTCTGCAAGGAAATGCCAGGACATCTCCGGTAAAAGGAGCAGGTAATCAGAGCTTCCTGACCAAAACTTGGTTCTTTGTTCTGCTTCTGGAGCAGAGGATATTGGATTAAATCAGGGGTCCTCAAACTTGGCAGCTTTAAGCCTGGCGGACTTCAATTCCCAGAATTCCCCAGCCAGCGAAGCTTTAAGCCTGGCGGACTTCAACTCCCAGAATTCCCCAGCCAGCGAAGCTTTAAGCCTGGCGGACTTCAATTCCCAGAATTCCCCAGCCAGCGAAGCTTTAAGCCTGGCGGACTTCAACTCCCAGAATTCCCCAGCCAGCAAAGCTGGCTGGAGAATTCTGGGAGTTGAAGTCCTCAAGTCTTAAAGCTGCCAAGTTTGAAGACCCCTGGGTTAAATCAATGTTTGGCCACCTCAGTATGTGTAAGATATATGGACTTCAACTCCCAGAAATCTTAGCAATGGGCCATGCTGGTTAGGGAATTATGGGACTTGAAGTCCAGAGATCTTAAAACATGCCGGATGGAGAATTGTGGGAGTTGGTTCACCCATTTTAAAATATGCTGGCTGGGGAATTCTGGGAATTGAAGTCCACCCCTCTTAAAGCATTTGACAAGAAGTAAAGGCCGGAAGGTCGTTAAAGAGAGATCCAAGCTAGAACTACCGAGAAATTTCCCAACAGTGAGGATGACATCACTGGAGGTTTTTAAGAAGAGACTGGACAGCTGCTTATACGGAATAGTATATAGGGCCTGTTGCTTGAGCAGGGGGTTGGACTAGAAGACCTCAAGGTCCCTTCAAGCCGGGGGTGAAATCCAGCAGATTCTGGAGAAGCGGTAGCGGAAATTTTGAGTAGTTCGGAGAACCGGCAAATACAGCCTCTGGCTGGCCACAGAGTGGGGTGGGAATGGGGATTTTGCAATATCCTTCCCCCAGGAGTGGGGTGGGAATGGGGATTTTGCAATATCCTTCCCCCAGGAGTGGAGAGGGAATGGGGATTTTGCAGTATCCTTCCCAGAATGGGGTGGGAATGGGGATTTTGCAGTATCCTTCCCCCAGAAATGGGGTGGGAATGGGGATTTTGCAATATCCTTCCCCTGGAGTGGGGTGGGAATGGGGATTTTGCAATATCTTTCCCCAGGAGTGGGGTAGGAATGGAGATTTTGCAGTATCCTTCCCCTGCCACGCCCACCAAGCCATGCCCACAGAACTGGTAGGGAAAATTTTTGAATTTCACGCCTGCCTCCAAGCCCTATGATTCTTTGATTTGAAAGCTAACAGATGCCAAGAGACCAAGCAGATATTCCCTCTCATCACGCCTCTGCCCCGAGTATCCCAACTCCCATCTTCCCCAACCCTGCCCCGCTGCTTTCCATACTCACCTTGCCACCAATCATGACCGTCCGTGGCACGAAGTGCTTGTTAGGTTCTCTCTTGATTCCTGGCGGAGGCGGAGGGGGAGGGGGTGGGGGTGGAAGAAGAGTCCACGGTCAGATGAGAGACAAAAACCAGCTTCCGGTCTCTCCCTGCAAATCCTCTCAAAGGCAGGATTCTCACAACCGACATAGCCAGAAGTCCTGAATTCTCCTGCGCTCCGGCTCAGTGCAACTCAGAGAGCCATGAACTCATTACTTCGCTGCTTCTGAGACGTAGTGGGTTTGGTGCCATGGGGAAGGGTGCTGGCTAGAAACTGGGTGAGGGTGAATTCTAGTTCTGGCTTAGGCATGAAAGCCAGCTGAGGCAGTCTCTCTCCATCACGGATTTGTGGTGGGAAAAGAGAAGGGTGCGGCTCAAACTGGACCAAGTAAAATCAAGGTGGGATGAAAAATCTGACAATAATGAAATAATCAATTTAATTTAGCTGAGCTGGCACAATGTGTTAGCCACCAAATAATTTGTAAGGCTGAAAAGGAGCTGAGCTTATAATGTGCCCTTGGTTATTTGATGGATGGATGGAAGGAGAGAGAAGGAAGGAAGGAAGGAAGGAAGGAAGGAAGGAAGGAAGGAAGGAAGGAAAAAAGGAGAAAGGAAGAAAGGAAGGGAAGAAGGGGGGACAGCAAGAGGAAAGAAGGAAGGAGGGAAGGAAGGAAGGAGAGAAAAGAGAAAGGAAGAAAGGGAGGGAGGAAAGAGAAAGGGAGGGCAGTAGGAAAGAAGGAAGGAATGAGAAAAGAGGAGAAAAGGAAGGAAGGAGAGAGATAGAGGAGGGACAGCAGGAGGAAGGAAAAGAGAAGGAAGGAGAGAATAGAGAAAGGGAGGGAGGGAGGAAGGAAGGAGAGGAAGAGAAGGAGAGCAGGAGGAAGGAAGAAGGAAGGAGAAAGGAAGAAAGGGAGGGAGGAGGAGCAAGAGGAAGGAAAGGAGAGAAGGAAGGAGAAAGAAAGGAAGAAAGAGAGGGAGGAAAAAGAAAGGGAGGGCAGGAGGAAAGAAGGAAGGAAGGAGAGAGATAGAGGAGGGACAGCAGGAGGAAGGAAAGAGAGAAGGAAGGAGAGAATAGAGAAAGGAGGAGGGAGGAAGGCAGAGAAGGAAGGAAGGAGAGAAGGAAGGAAAGAGAAAGGAAGAAAGGGAGGGAGGAAAGAAAGGGAGGGCAGGAGGAAGAAAGAAGGAAGGAAGGAAGGAAGAGAAAAGAGAAAAGGAAGGAAGGAGAGAGATAGAGGAGGGACAGCAGGAAGGAAGGAGAGAGAAGGAAGGAGAGAATAGAGAAAGGGAGGGAGGAAGGGAGGAAGGAGAGGAAGAGGAGGGAGGGCAGGAGGAAGGAAGGAAGGAAAGACAGGAGGGACAGCAGGAGGAAGGAAGGAGAGAGAAGGAAGAAAGGAGAGAAAAGAGAAAGGGAGGGACAGAGGAGAGAAAGAGGGAGGGCAGGAGGAAGGAAGGAAGGAAGGAAGAAAGGAAGGAAAGCCAGACAAAAAACCGAGAGAATGCCAAACCCACCACTGGCCAAAACAAAGATGGGGGGGAGAGTCCCGAAGGAAAAGGGGGTTCATTCTCCCCGTGTCTGGCTGCCCCAGAGCCGCAGCCGGAGGCCGGCACTCACTGTTGTAAAGGGTGATGACATGCAGGCAATTGAGCAGCTGCCTCTTGTACTCGTGGATCCGTTTCACCTGAACGTCGAAGAGGGAGTTGGGATTGATCCTGACCTTGTATTCCTTCTCCAGGTAGGCGGCAAACTTCAACTTGTTCTCCTATAACCAAGCCGGGGTAGGGGGTGGGGAGGGAGCGAAATTAAGCAGAGTTCAGATGAAAAAGCAAAGCAGTCCGCTACTCCCTCTCCCCAGAATTTAAAGCTTTGACTGAGTGATTTAAGGACAGCGGTGGGCTTCAAAAAATTTAGCAAGGGGTTCTCTGCCCAGTTGCTGGGTGGGCGTGGCCATGGTGGGCGTGGCCCTGTTTGCTTCCTGCACCATAGTATGGGGGAGGCGTTTTTGCCCCCCGGGCTCCAGAGGCTTTTCTTGAGCCTCTGGGAGGGCAAAAACAGCCTCCCCAGGCTCCGGAGGCCCGTTTCCAGCCTTCCCAAACTTCCCGTAGGCCCGTTTTTCGGCCTCCCCGAGCCTCCGCGCACGCCCTGCACTTACCTGCATTCAAAACAGCCTGCGTGGGGACTCCAGGGAAGGGAGGGGAGGGATGGGCGGGGCCAGCCAAGATTTGGGGATTCTCCGAACTGTACCGAATTTTAGCTAGAGGTTCTCCCGAACTCCTGCGAACCCCCAGGCAGCCCACTCCTGATTAAGGAAGAGGGGCTGAAATATGTTCCAGATCCAGAGAAGAAAGATAACATTTGGAAGCTCCTCAGGCAGACCCTTCCCTGATTCACAGGAGTATAAGTGGGGAGGTTGGGGGGGCAGCACAAATAGACTTACAAGATTCTGATATTCAGCGTTTTAGCTTTGCTGTGCAATTATCTGCTCCGATTGGAGCCGATATCTTTTTTTAATGTATATATATATATATATATTTATCCCATGCTGGATCCCTCTTCCTGAACAGAATTGAAATTCCAGCTTCTTTGCAAAGGAGGAGAAGCCAGGATTGGGGGGGGAAGGGAAGGGGATGCAGCCAGGAAAACATCCCAGTTGTATAAAGGTAGTCCTCCATCTATAACTGTTTAGTGACCGTTTGAAGTTACGACAGCCCTGAAAAAAGTGACTCGTGACTGTTTTTTCACACCACCGTTCAGCATCCCCATGATCATGTGATCAAAATCCAGATGAGCTCAGCAACTGGCTCATATTTATTATGACGGTCACATGATCCCCTTTTGAGATCTTCGGACAAGCAGAATCAATGGGGAAGCCAGATTCACTTAACAGCCGTGTTACTAATTTAACGACGGAGTGATTCACTTTAAAGAAATGTGTCCAGAGAAAGTCGTAAAAAGGCAACAAAACTCACTTTCCATCCTCCTCACCTGTTTGACTTTGGCCACATCCCGGATAAAACTTTCATCGTCCACAAAATTGAGAAGTTTCCTCAGCTGATCCAGATCAGAGATGTAGTCGTCTCCGATGCGCTAGAGAGGAAGTTACAGAAAGCAAAGTTAGCGCTGTGGCCGAGAGATTTCAGCCAGGTCTAGGCTTCCCAAGAGCAGGAAGCAGGACTCCTTGTCCCGGACAAAAAATCCTTTTTTATTAAGTTACTGTGAATTCCTCTCATTCACATCCAGCAAAGTCTTGGAAGGGTACAGACAAAACCCTAACTCCAAACGCAACCGACTTGGCTTAGCATCTTAAACAGAGTTTACACATTCAATTTGTTTTGATTTGAACCAAATCATTTAATTAACCGTTCGTTTTGATTTAAACCAAATCAAATTAACCTAATTCAATTTATTGTGGTTAACCGCCTGCCGTTTAGAGAAAAGGCTTTTTTTAAAAAAGGATGGAAAATTGATGGCCAGAACAGATATTTGGGGAAAGTGCATAGAAAATCTCTTTTAATATAAGATAAATAGTTTAGTGACTAACTCCTTGCTTGATCCCAGGATGCTCTGGATAATTTCGGGCTAATCAACTTTCTCTCCATCCCTGCTGCCTAGACTTCAGCATTTTCTTTTTTTATATATATATATAAAAAGTTTTTTATTTTGAATACATTAAAAACAAACACAAAACAAACAACACATATATACAAATCATTTTTCCGTTGTTAACAGCTCGTTTAAGGTGATCCTTTCTTATTATTTACATATATTCTAACTTTATCTTAATTTACTTAGATAATCTAATTTCCTTTGTGTCGACTTCTCTTTACTTTGATCTTTAGCACATTCAATTGATATTATCACAAAAATAAACAATAAGAGTATTATTTCCGTTCCCTCTTTTTTTTCCCTCCTTATTCCTTTTTTTCGTTTTTCCCTTTCTCGCACCAATCATACCATCTAAACCATACTCTATAGTAATCTGACTTCAGCATCTTCAAGAAAAAAAATAGGCTATAAATAAACAGATCAATAGTAGGGAAAACTGCCAATGGGAAAGGAAGTGGCTGTTTTCATGGATTATTATTATTTTTTTTTTAAAAAAGGAGATCTATTAAAAACCAGAGCAGCAAATGGCTATTAAGGCAGGTCGTAAAACAATTTCTATCGATCCGTCCATCTTTTTACCCTCCATCCCTTCCAGGCTAAAAACCTCCATAAATTTGCCAACAAAGACTATTTTGGCGGATGAGCTAAGAATGGATCGCGGCGGAGATGGGGTTTCATTACACAGGCTCACCTCCGCGATGATCTCAGCCAGCCCAGGGTTGCATAAAACCAGCCACCGGCGTGGCGTAATCCCGTTGGTTTTATTCTGGAACTTGTGCGGTTCGAATTCGTAGAAATCTTTAAACCTGGGGAAGAGAGAGGCAATAGGAAGATAGTTCGATGCAGGGCAGGGAAAACTATTTCCATTTGGCAAAAGGGCAAACGAAGGTGGGAAAAGAAGGAAAAAAAATCAAATTTTCTTTCCGAAGAAGGGAAATGAATTATCCATTGCTGGGGCTGTAGTTGGATTCTGTGAGCGTCTTAATGCAATTCATGTTTTCCCAATCTTGGCTTAGTTTTGGTTTCATCTATAGTCCAGGATCATCCTCTTAATCCAGGGGTCTGAAACCTTAAGCGCTCAAAGAGCCATTTGGACCCGTTTCCCAGAGAGAAGAAAACACCGGGAGCCACAAAACCTGGGTGGGCGTGGCCAACTCTATGTCACTCACTTCTACCAGTCACATGACACCCCCCCTAGCCACGCCTACCCAGCCGGTCATTAGGACAGTTGTTAAAAAGCACCGGGAACCACAAAATCTCTCTCTCCCTCCCTCTGCTCTCCCTCTCTCTCTGTATCTCTCTGTCTCTGCCCTGCCCTGACTCAACGCCAAAGGCGCACGGAAAACGTTGTTCCCTTCCCACCAAAGGGGGTCCCTATTTTTCTACTTGCTTTCCTTTCGAACTGCTAGGTTAGCAGAAGCTGGGACAAGTCATGGGAGTTCATCTCGTTACGTGGCACTAGGGATTCGAACCACTGAACTGCCGACCTTTTGATCAACAAACTCAGCGTCTTAGCCACTGAGCCACTGAATCTCCCTTTTTAGAGAGCTAATAGCCAAACCCTTTTGTTCCTCCTTTTGGTTGTATTTTCGTTTTGCACAAGAGAGTCCCAAGGGGATGATCTGCTTTCCCTGATTTGTCCCTGATTGTGTGAGAAATTCACTCCCCCCTTCCCCAGCTCTGAGACTCCAGATCAGTTGGTGGGATTCAGCCACTTCTGTCCGGATCGCACAAACCAGTGGCGGCGACTGCAGGAGGCTCTGCCCCGCCCCCCGGATATAATGCGCAACTACTGCGTGCGCACTTACATTTGCAAACTGGTAGGGAAGGTAAGTGAATCGGGTGGATTCTACTTACCTTTACTACCGGTTCGCAAAGGGGTGGTGAAAAGCCAGTGGTGAAATCTAAAATTTGTTACTACCGGTTCTGTGGGCGTGGCTTGGTGGGGGGGTGGTAATGTGACTGGGTGGGCGTGGCCAATTTTTTTTTTTTACTTTTAAAACCATTTTTTCTACAACCTCTTCGGCGAAGAGGTTGTAAAAAAATGCTTCCAAAAGGCTCTGACGATCCCAGCTGAGTTGCCTGATCGGCAGAGGCTTTTTTTCTTTTAAAAGCCTCTGATGATCCCAACTGAGTTGCCTGATCGGCAGAGGCTTTTTTTCTTTTAAATGCCTCTGATGATCCAAGCTGAGGCTTTTTTTTCTTTTAAATTCCTCTGACGATCCCAGCTGAGTTGCCTGATTGGCAGAGGCTTTTTATCATGCAACTCAGCTTGGCGATCAGGCAACTCAGCTGGGATCGTCAGAGGCATTTAAAAGAAAAAAAGGCTTTTTTTCTTTTAAAAACCTTTGATGATCCCAGCTGAACCGCGTGATCATCAGAGGCTTTTTTTTTAACTTTTAAAAGCATTTTTTCAGCTGAAGAGGTTGTAGAAAAGTATTTTCTAAAAGTTTTTTTTAAAAGTAAAAAAAAGTCTCTGATGATTGTGTGGCTCAGCTGGGCATGGGGGGGGGGGGTGGCAGGGATTTTTACTACCGGTTCTCTGAACCACCCACCTCCATCGCTACCGGATCGGGCGATCCGGTCCGAACCGGGAGCGTAAGCGCAGAAGCTTCCTGACGACGTCCGGGTTGGTGAGCAGAGCCTCCCGCCAGTTTTACTACCAGTTCTTGCAAACCGGTCTGAACTGGGGGCAACCCACCACTGAATCCCACTTCTGCTCCAGATACCTACACGGTGGCCTTCAGGATCTCGGAGTGGATCCAGGCGACTCCGTTGACCGCGTGGGAGCCCACGATGCAGAGATGCGCCATGTTGATCCGCTTGACGCTTCCTTCTTCCACCATGGACATGCGGCGCATCCGGTCGAGGTCTCCCGGGAAGGTGGCATAGACTCTCTACAGAAAACATGGACAGTGCCCCCAAAATGCGGTTAGAACACTTGTGACAAACGCCCGGATTCCACACACAGCCCTGGGAAGGCTTTGCACAAACGGTGGAGTTAAAGACTGTCGGGTGGGAAACAGCTGGAGAACACGAGGTCTCCTCGAGGGACCCAAGAGACGCAGGAGAAGGAAGAGAACAGAGAACCGGCTGGAATGGAGTAGCTGGGCAATGGGTTTGGTTGGTCGGCTGGGCCCTTAGAACATAGAATAATAGAGTGGGAAGGGACCTTGGAGGTCTTCTAGTCCAACCCCCCTGGTTGAGCAGGAGACCCTACATTTCCGACAAGTGGCTGTCTGAACCTCTTCTTAAAAATATCTGCTGATGGAGCACCCACAACTTCTGAAGGCAAGAACTCCTCTCACAGTTTGAAATTTCTCCTTAGTTCTAGGTTGCTTCTCTCCTTGGTTAGTTTCCAACCATTGTTTCTCATCTTGCTTTCTGGTGTTTTGGAAAACACGTTGACCCCCCCACCCTCTTTTTTGTAGCAGCCCCTCAAGTATTGGAAGACTGCTATCATATCTCCCTTAGACATGCCCAATTCCCGCAACCGTTCTTCATATGTTTTAAGAGCCGTGGCATCAGTGGTGAGAATGCAGTACTGCAGGTTACTTCTGCCGGCTGCCAGCAGTTTGATCCTGACCTGCTCAAGATTGACTCAGCCTTCTGCCTTTCTGAGGTGGGTAAAACGAGGACCCAGATCATTGGGGGGCAAGAGGCTGACTCTATAAACCACTTAGAGAGGGCTGTAACACAATGTGAAGCGGTATATAAGTCTTAAGTGCTATTGCTATTCTGGAGGTAAGCCATTCTACTAATTAATTGTTCTCACTGTCAGGAAGTTTCTCCTTAGTTCTAGGTTGCTTCTCTCCTTGATTAGTTTCCACCCATTGCTTCTTGTCCAGCCTTCAGGTGCTTTGGAGAATAGCTTGATTCCCTCTTCTTTGGGGCAGCCCCTGAGATGTTGGAACACTGCTATCATGACTCCCTTAGTCCTTCTTTTCATTAAACTAGCCATACCCAGATCCTGCAACCGTTCTTCGTATATTTTAGCTTCCAGTCCCCTAATCTTCTTCGTTGCTCTTCTCTGCACTCTTTCCAGAGTCTCCACATCTTTTTTTATATCGTGGCGACCAAACCTGCATGCACGATTCCAAATGTGGCCTTCTTAAAGCGGAACTAACACTTCACGTGATCTCCATCCTATGTCCCTGTCCAAGAGCAGTCTATCTTGATCTATTTTACTGCCCAAACTCTATGAGACGTTTGGCCCCAAAGATCTTTTCGGGTGGGGGCTGCACTCACGTCGAGGAAACGCTGGTTGATTTCGTAGATGATCTCCAAGTGACGGGGCAGGAGGGTCTCGAAGAGGTGGACGGGCCAGCGCTCCAGCGCCTCTGGCAGCACAGTGTGGTTGGTGTAGGCACAGGTGCGCACGGTGACATCCCAGGCCTGCAATATGGGGAGAGAGCAAAGCTTCCTTCACAGACATATCGTTTACAAACAGTTGTTTAGTGACTCTTTGAAGTTACTCCCCCCACCCCCAAAATAAATGCTGGAATAGCAAATGCCAGTTCTAGGAAGGGGGTTGGACTAGATCAAGGGTGCAAACTCAAGGCCCGGGGGCCGGAACCGGCTCGTGGGGTGCTTAGATCTGCCCACGGGGCCGCCCTGGAAATAGCGAAGGACCGGCCTGCAGTGCCTCTGCCAGCGAAAACGGAGATTGCTGAGGGCTGCGTGCGGCCCGCCCAACTCCCTTTTGGCTGGCAGAGGGTTGCAGGAGGCTGGTCACAACTGAAAATGGAGCTCGGGAGATGGTGAGTTCTAGTTCCGCCTTAGGCATGAAAGCAGTTGAGTGACTTTGGGCCAATCACCAGGAGACGGTGAGTTCTAGTCCTGCCTTAGGCATGACAGGCATGTTGAGTGACTTTGGGCCAATCACCAGGAGACGGTGAGTTCTAGTCCTGCCTTAGGCATGACAGGCATGTTGAGTGACTTTGGGCCAATCACCAGGAGACCGTGAGTTCTAGTCCTGCCTTAGGCATTAAAGGCATGAAAGCAGTTGAGTGACTTTGAGCCAATCACCAGATGACGGTGAGTTCTAGTCCCGCCTTAGCCATTAAAGGCAGTTGAGTGACTTTGGGCCAATCACCAGGAGACGGTGAGTTCTAGTCCCGCCTTAGCCCTGAAAGGCAGCTGGGTGCCTTTGGGCCAGTCCTTCTCTCTCAGCCCAGCCCGCCTCACCAGGTTGTTGTGGTGAGGAAAATAGGAGGAGGAAGGTATGTTGTATATGTTCACTGCCTTGAGTTATTTGTAAAAATAATCAAGGCAGGATTAAAAATAAATTTAAAAAAAGAAACCGTGGCAAAAAACCCCCAAACAACCCCAACAACCACCCAAAAGAATCGTGTGGCAATTGTGGTGGGGTAGAAAAGAGACAATTTGTGTTGTTTCCTCTTTTTTTTTTTTTCTTTTTTGCACTGTTTATGACGTCTTGGCTATTTCTCAGTCGCTTCTTCGATGCTCACTTCCAAAGCAATCTATTTTAATTCTTCCTTGGCTTGGCATGTCATTCCTCCCCCAAAGAGCCACATTTCAGGGTTTTGTTTGTTTTTTTGCCAAATTACAGGCTCTTACCTTATCCCAATCCAGCTTCTCAATATCCACCAAAATCCTCATCAGCTCCGGGATGGCCAGCGAAGGATGCGTGTCGTTGAGTTGAATGGCGACCTGCGATTGTCAAAACACAACAAAACGGAGGGAAATGGTTGGACTAGAAGACCTCCAAGCAGGGGTGAAATGCTCCCGGTTCGGACCGGATCACCTGATCTGGTAGCGATGGAGACGGGTGGTTCAGAGAACCGGTAGCAAAAAACCCTGCCCCCGCCATGCCCAGCTGAGCCGCGCAATCAGAGGCTTTTTTTTTTTACTTTTAAAAGCATTTTTCTACAACCTCTTTGGCCGAAAAAATGCTTTAAAAGTAAAAAAAATAAAGCCTCTGATAATCGCGCGGCTCAGCTGGGATCCTCAGAGGCTTTTAAAAGCATTTTTTCTACAACCTCTGAAGACCCGGCTCTTCTGGTTTCCGGCATTCCAGATTGGCCGATGCACCACTCATCCTGAAGCCGCACTTGTTGGGTACCTTGTCTGGGAAAGCGTCGAAGGAGGTGCGAACAGGATCACGGCTGCCGAACTTGGAGGATTTGAAGCGGCGGATGATATCTTGAAGCGTGGCGGCCACCACGAAATACTCCTCTTCAGACGCAGCTCTTTGCCTTCGAAGAACTGCGGAGAGAAGAGCAGAAGTCAAGCTATTCTGCAAAAGCACCTGTTGTGGTCTTCCAGCGGCCTGCGGACCTGGCAGGCAGAGTCGGACAGTGAGGAGGTTGGGGAGGAACATGGGCCAGTCCTGGAGTCTGGGGAAGGCTCGGACGAGGGCTCAGCGTCAGAGGCAGAGAGGGGGCCAGGGCCATCTGGGAGTTATGTGCTGACTCCGGAGCCCCCAGAGTCTGACATCAGCGAGGCAGAGGAACAGGGGGAGCCTGTTCCCAGTGCGCGCATGCGCAGAGCTGCCAGAAGGCAAGAACAGTTAAGACGAAAGGGGCGTAAGGCTTGGAGATGATTGGCCCCTCCCATAAGACATAAAGGTGGAGCAAAGGCATGTGAGCCTTTGCAGGAAGCAACTTTGTTCGTTCTGGTCGGTTTAAATTTTGAAGCTCCGTTTTGATTCTGTGCTCCGTGTGGCCTTGCAAAGCTAATTGCCGATTAGGTCTTTGGCAGGGAGATAAAGGTGGGTGCTTATTAGCCTTATCCCGAAGGACTGTGGCAGACTTCTGTCGGGCTTTTTACAAACTCTTTGTGACTCAACACGGGCTGTGAATGAACAGAATTCACAGCCGTTGAAATAAAAAGAGGGTTTTTGGGACTAATCGTGTACTTTTTAGTGTCTTAGGAAGCCTAGGTCAGAGCAGCATCTGAAGGGAGGACAAGAAGCAACGGATGGAAAAAGGCTCTCTCTGGAGATTCTCCATCATCTTTGGTTGTCCCAAAGGCGCTTTTTTTCAAGAGGCAACTGGACTTTGTGGTCTTTGAAGACATTTCGCTTCTCATCCAAGAAGCTTCTTCAAAGAATAACCAGAAAGTCCAGTTGCCTCTTGAAAAAAGCACCTTCAGGACAACGGATTGGAAACGAATCAAAGAGAGAAGCAATCTGGAATCAAGGAGAAACTTCCTGTCAGTGAGAACAATTAACCAGTGGAACAACTTGCCACCAGAATGCTCCAACAGTGGAGCTTTTTAAGAAGAGACTGGAAACTCATCCGTCTGAAATGCCTGAGCAAGGGGATGGACTAGAAGATCTCCAAGGTCCCATCCAGCTCTGTTATTATTCTGTTAGAATGATGGTCGGAGGATGCTCGGCTTGCAGAGAAGTGACTCAATTTGAGGGGTTCACAAATTGCACTAGAGGAAATCCTCAATTTACAACCACAATTTCAGTCGTTAAGCAATTCAATTGTTAAGCAAATCACCATGTAGCCAGACCTGATTTTAATGACCGTTTTACCCCAGCTGTTAAGTAAATCACACAATTGTTAAGTAAAACACTCGTCAAGCTGATGAACTATGATCACCTGACTGCAACCGTCGTGAATGCAAGCTCGATGCTAAGTCCCTGACTTACGATCATATGACCGTAAGGGCGGTCGTAACTTCGAGGACAGGCTGCAAGTCAACTTTTTTGGACTTTCGTAACTTCAAACTGCCATTAAACAAATGTTCTCGTTCCTCGTCATCCTCCTACAATCGGATGACCTCCTTGGTTTTGGAAGTTATCCCCCATCATTCCCAATTTTTTGGCTGAGAACCATGGGAGTTAGAATTGAGCAAATATATCGGCTGGGGAATTCTGGGAGTTGAAGTTCGCATATCTTAAAGTTGCTGACATTGAGAAATGGTGATTTAAAGGTTCCTTGGCACATTGGGGGGGAAAACCCCGGCCCCCCAAGAAAAAGATACTTACGTTATCATTGGGATACAGAACACGGGAAATGTTTTCTGCCAAATTCCGGTCCAGCACAGCCTGGATGTAGCCACCGACATTGACTGAAGACGGGAAGATTTAAAAAAAAAAGAAAATGGAGAAAAAAGAATAAGTTAATATAATTTGATTTAGCCACGGGATGCTTCAAAGTTAAAATAAAAATATCAATAGGGCTAGAAACAGGGCCTTCTCGGTGTAGGTGCCTCATCTGAAGAAAGTCTGATCCGGTATCGTTTTTCTTGAGTTTACAATGTCTATTTAAACCAGGGGTGAAATCCAGCAGGTTCTGACAGGTTCTGGCGAACCGGTAGCGGAAATTTTGAGCAGTTTGGCGAACTGGCAAATATCACCTCTGGCTGGCCCGAGTGGGGTGGGAATGGAGATTTTGCAGCATCCTTCCCCTGCCACGCCCACCAAGCCATGCCACACCCACCAAGCCACGCCCACAGAAGCAGTAGTAAAAAAAATTGGATTTCACCACTGGTTTAACCGCAACCTCAACCGTGGCAAGTTTTAAAATGTAGGGACTTCAACTCCCAGAATTCCCCAGCTAGTAAAAAGATAGGGGTGGGCTTCAAAAATTTTAGCAAGGAGTTCTCTGCCCATTTGCTGGGTGGGGATGGCCTAGTCGGCCTCCTGCACCACGGCGTGGGGGGCATTTTTGCTCTCCCCGGGCTCCAGAGGCTTTCTATGAGCCTCCAGGAGGGTGAAAATGGCCTCCCCAGGCTCCAGAGGCCCTCTGGAGGCTAGCCTTCCTGAACTTCCGGTAGTCCCGTATTTCACCCTCCCTGAGCCTCCGTGTGCGCCCTGCACTTACCTGCATCCAAAATGGGCCACATGGGGACTACTGGGAGGGGCGGGGCAGGGTAGGTGGGGTCAGCCAGGAATGGGATTTGGGGGTTCTCCGAACTTCACAGAATCTTAGCTAGAGGTTCTCCCGAACCCATGCGAACCCCCAGCAGCCCACCCCTGAGTAAAGAATTCTGGGAGTTGAAGTCCACACATTTTAAACTCGCCAAAGATTGGGAAATATGTTGGTTCCTTTGGGTCTTTGTAGGATAAAACCCAGGACAAGGATCAACCCCATACAGGCAGTCCTCAACTTAACAGTTCATTTAGTGACCAATGAAAGTTACGACGGCACTGAAAAAAAAGTGAGTTATCATTTTTCACGTTTACGGCCATTTCAGTGTCTCCACGGTCATGTAAATCAAAATCCGGACACTTGGTAACTGACTCATATATATGACGGTTGCGGTATCCTAAGAGGTCACATCATCCACTTTTGCAATAATCTTATAAGCAAAATCGATGGGGAAGCCAGATTTATTTCACAGCTGTGTTACTAATTTAAGAGCTGCATTGATTCACTTAGCAACTGCGGCAAGGAAGATCGTAAAATGGGGCGAAACTCACTTAACAAACGTTTCGCTTAACCGCAGAACTTTGAGGTTCAATTGCGGTCGTACGTCGAGGACCACCTGTAGATGAGAACTTCATTCCACCAAGAACCCCCAGAGTTCCCAGGATTTGTGAGTCGCCTGAGAATGAGTTTGAATCTCAGGTCGGTGCTACTTACAATCCTTCAGGTTGAACTCGTTGGGAGCCCTGGCAGACCACAAACGCATGGTGTTGACTGTGTTGTTGCGATACCCAGGCACGGGTGTGTCGTAGGGCAAGGCGAGCACCACCTGCATGGAAACAGGGATGGGGAAGGAGAAAAGTAACCAAGATCAGTCCCTAGGGAGGACCCAGGCTGCACTTCAGCTCCGTCAGTTATGGCAGACAGATGCCCAGGATCTAAATTCATAATGTTGGAAAGTTCTGGCCACCTCTTGAATGGACCACTGCAACATGCTCGACCTGGGGTTCCCCTTGAAGAGTTAGATAGATAGAACGAAAGATAGATGATAGATATGGATAGATGGATAAACAGAATGAGAGATAGAAAGATAAATAGAACGATAGATAGATTGATAGAGATAAATAAATAGATAAGAGATAGAACGGCAGATAAATAGAATGATATAGGTAGGTAGGTAGGTAGGTAGGTAGGTAGGTAGATATAGATTATAGATTGATAGATAAATAGAACAAGAGATAGAATGATAAATAGAATGATAGAACAATAGGATAGATAGAACAGATAGGCAGATAGATAATAGACGATGATAGATAGATGATAGATAGATAAATAGATAGATAGATATGGATGGATGGATGGATAGAAGAATAGATCTATTCTATTCTATTCTATATAGATAAATAGATGATAGAGAGAGAGAGAGAGAGATGATAGAGAGAAATAGAGAGAGACAGAGACAGAGATAGATATGGATGGATAGATGGATGGAGAGAGCGATAGATGATAGATAGATGATATAGATAGATAGATAGATAGATAGATAGATAGATAGATAGATAGGGATGGATGGATGGATGGATGGATAGATAGAAGAATAGATCTATTCTATTCTATTCTATTCTATTCTATTCTATTCTATTCTATTCTATTCTATTCTATTCTATTCTATTCTATTCTATTCTATTCTATATACACTGCTCAAAAAAAAAATAAAGGGAAGACAAGCAGAAGACATCCGAGATCTGAATGAATGAAATAGCCTGATTAAATACTTTGTTCGTTACATACAGTAGTTTTGTGTTCCCTTTAGTTGTTTGAGCAGTGTATAAACTACTGTATGTAAAGAACAAAGTATTTAATAAGGCTATTTCATTCATTCAGATCTTGGATGTCTTCTGCTTGTGTTTCCTTTATTTTTTTGAACAGTATAGATACATAGATGATAGATAGAGATAGAGAGATGATAGAGAGAAATAGAGAGAGACAAAGACAGAGATAGATATGGATGGATGGATGGAGAGAGAAGATAGATGATAGATACATAGATAAATAGATGATAGATAGATAGATAGATAGATAGATAGATAGATAGATAGATAGAAGAATAGATCTATTCTATTCTATTCTATTCTATTCTATTCTATTCTATTCTATATAGATACATAGATGATAGAGAGACAGAGACAGAGAGAGATATGGATGGATGGAGAGAGAGAGAGAGAGAGATAATACATAGATAGATAGATGATAGATTCTGTGGGTGTTGCTTGGTGGGCATGGCATGGCTTGGTGGGTGTGGCAGGGGAAGGATACTGCAAAATCTCCATTCCCACCCCACTCCAGGGGAAGGATACTGTAAAATCCCCATTTCCTCCCAATCAGCTGGGACTTGGGAGGCAGAGAAGAGATGGGGGCGGGGCCAGTCAGAATTTTTACTACTGGTTCTCTGAACTACTCAAAATTTCCGCCACCGGTTCTCCAGAACTGGTCAGAACCTGCTGAAACCCACCTCTGGTTGTATCCCTGGGAAGCTGTGATGTTTTGTGGAGGAAACACAAAGATGTGCACGGACACTCACCTGCGCAGGGACCACAAGCCGCTTACCTGCGTGTCAGCCCACTTTGCTTCTCCCTCTCCGTGTTGCACGTGTCCATAGAAGTGGACAGGGATCATGTACTCCGGGCGGGCCTTCTCCCAGGGATTCCCGTAACGCAGCCAGTCGTCGGCTTCCTCCACCTGCCAGCCTCCCAAGACCTTCTGGTTGAAAATGCCGAATTCATAGCGGATCCCGTAGCCGTAAGCAGCCAAGCCGAGAGTCGCCATGGAGTCCAGGAAGCAAGCTGGGGGGTGAGGTTAAAACCCACAAGAGATGACCAGAATGGAAAAGAAGACTGAAGTACATTTGAAAGCAGGAGTATCCAACTTTGACAACACTTAAGACTTGTGGGCTTCAAAGTGGCTGGGGAATTTTGGGAGTTGAAGTCCACAAGTCTTAAAAGTGGCCAAAGCTGCCTCAGAGCATGGTTGGCTGGGGAATTCATAAGTCTTAAAGTTGCCAAGGTTGGATAAAGGTAAAGGTAAAGGTTCCTCTCGCACATATGTGCTAGTCGTTCCTGACTCTAGGGGGCGGTGCTCATCTCCGTTTCAAAGCCGAAGAGCCAGCGCTGTCCGAAGACGTCTCCGTGGTCATGTGGCCGGCATGACTCAATGCCAAAGGCGCATGGAACGCTGTTCCCTTCCCACCAAAGGTGCTCCCTATTTTTCTACTTGCATTTTTTACCTGCTTTCAAACTGCTAGGTTGGCAGAAGCTGGGACAGGTAACAGGGGCTCACCCCATCACGCGGCACACTAGGGATTCGAACCGCTGAACCAGGCACAGTTTGGCCTGTGAAACGAGGGGGGTTGTAGAGATCACTGGCTGAGCATGGCACACCGGAGGCAGAAGGGTCCCCAGAAATCTGTATGAGCTAGTGGTTACTCCTGTAAGCTCTTCTGAAATAGTTGGCGTTAAAATACAGAGCTGGATTGGAGTTGGAAAGGAGACCAACAGGAAATCTTCAAAGGCAGACAGGGTTAATCTCTTCCCTATTAATGGCGAGCAAACACCGTGGAGTGTTCGCGAGACCACCTCAGGACCTCCACTCAACTCAAGTGAGATTGCATTTTTATTTTGAAGACACTCTCCCATTGGTTCTCATCAGGCTGGGCTTGTGCAACAGCACACTCAGGCTGAATTTGCACAACATTCTAGCGTACAAGAGCAGCTCACAAAAATGTTTAAAGATAAAATCAGCCAAATGTTGGAAATGTCATCAATTACCAGGATCTTATTATCATATGTGGTGGACATGTCCAGAAGCTAAAAACTATTGGAATAAAATTAAGACACGGTTGGAAGAAACGATACAACAACGTATTGATTTAAAACCAGAGCTGTTCCTACTGGGTATCCTTCCAGAGAAAATTAGCAAAGAAAATATTTATTTGATTATACATGTAATAACAGCTGCAAGGATTGTTTCTGCACAAAATTGGAAAGCAGAGAAAATACCCTTGGAAGGAGAAGCAATTAAAAAAAAAAATTAGACTGTGCAGAAATGAATAGATGAACTTTGATGATCAAAGAACGAGAGGGTTTAGAATATTTTAAGATATGGGATCAATTTTACCATTGGTTAGAAAAGAGGTATAGGTAAGCAAACTAATAGTTATGTAAGAAAATGGTTTTGGAGAAATGCTGTAATAGATTTGGTGAAAATGAGGACAGAAGAAACGACAAAAAGATGAAGCCATGGAGAAAACACCGAGATGTCACATAGAAGGAATGACTGATGTATTAAATGTTTGTTTCTGTATAAAATAATTTTAAAAAAAAAGAAAAAAAGAGCAGCTCAGACCAAGCTCAGCCTAATGAATACATGGTAGTGTAGATCAATTCCTAAGTGGGTTGTGGGAAACAGCCACTCTATCTGGAAGACTCTGGAATGGTTGCCTCTATGCAATTCAGGGGGTGGACTAGATGACCTTCGGAGGTCCCACCCTAATGACGGTGAGGTTTTTCGAGCAGAGGTTGCCCTGATTTTAAAATCAGGGAGATGGGGAGGAGCTTTTTCCTTTTTTATTTATTTGTATCCTGCCTTTTATCGTTTTTACAAAGAGCTCCATCTCATTCCAAGTTTGGTGGAAGTTTTCAGCAGCTCATCGCTCGATCCGCTGATGAAAACGTCGCCCTGGAATAAAATGGTCATTTTGGGGCTTTTCTCTGCTGCTGCCAAAGGCAAGATCATACAAGATCTCTGCAGGAACTTTGGCCCGCCAAGGGAGGGCGCCGTTGGGTCCCCGATCTGCCCCTCGCTGATGCCCACCTGCCAGTCGCCCCAATCCTCCGTTGCCCAAGCCGGCGTCCTCTTCAATTTCCTGCAGCTCCTCCATATCCAAGCCCAGCTGTAGAGGGAGGAATAGAGAATAATTTCAATTTTGGGACCCAAAAATATTTATCGGTTGGTTGCTTGGTTTATATTCCTCCTTTATTATTTTTGCAATTAACTCAAGGAAGTCAGCATATATAATTTTATTTATTTTATTTTATTTATTTAGTTTGTCAAGCATGTATGAGAAAACAAGTATAAGTATGAACATAACATATAAACCTATAAATATAAGCAGGTATAAGTATATATGTATTCCTTCTCCCATTTTTCCCACCATAACAACCTTGTGAGGTGGGCTGGGCAGAAAGAGTGTGATTGGGCCAAAATCACCCAGATGGCTTTCATGCCTACAGCGGAACTAGAACTCACTATCTCCTGGTGATTGGCCCAAAGTCATCCATACCTAAAGTGGCACTAGAACTCACAATCTCCTGGTGATTGGCCCAAAATCACCCAGAGGACTTTTCATGTTTAAGGCAGGATTAGAACTCACCGTCTCTTGGTGTTTAGACAAAAGTCATCCAGTCAGTTTTTATGCCTAAGGGCGAGACTAGAACTCACTGTCTTCTGGTGATTGGGCCTAAGTCATCTGGCTGGCTTTCATGGATAAGGTGGAACTAGAACTCTCAGTCGCCTGGTGACTGACCCAGTCACCCAGTCAGCTTTCATGCTTAAGGCAGGACTAGAACTCCCCAGCTCCTGGTGATTGCCCCAAAGTCACCCAGCTGGCTTTCATGGATAAGGTGGAACTAGAACTCTCAGTCGCCTGGTGATTGGCCCAATCACCCAGCCAGCTTTCATGCTTAAGGCAGGACTAGAACTTCCCGTCTCCTGGTGATTGCCCCAAAGTCACCCAGCTGACTAGTGTGGATATGGTGGAACTAGAACTCACCATCTCCCACTTTCTAGCCTGGTGCCTTAACCAGTAGACCAAACTGCCTCTTCCCCTTCATAATATTCTCCTTTCTGCAAAATGTGGCGGGGTGGAGGGTGAGAGGGCAGCTTTGCAAACTTTTTCGCCCCCTCTCTGTGATCCCTTTCCCTCCCCAGTTTCCTGCCCCCTCCCCAATCGGGTTCACGAGCCGCTCCCAAACCTGGTAGATGGCTTCGTCGCAGGCGTTTTGCAAGCCCAGGTTCACCATGGTATTTTGGAGTGTCCGTCCCATGTAAAACTCCAGGGAAAGATAATAAATGCGCTGGAAGAAAGGAAGGGAAAAAAAGGGGGGGGATCAGTAAATAGATTCCCTCCTCTAGTGGTGGGTTGTTCCTGGTTCGCACCGGTTCGCAAGAACCGGTAGTAAAAATTTGTAGTAGTTCGGAGAACCGGTAATAACATTGGCTGGCCACACCCCCGAACCGGTCCCTGGCCCGGTCGCTGCTCGCTTACCCCGCCCACCTCATCAGAGGCTTTTTTTTTAACTTTTAAAAGCATTTTTTCTACCACCTCTTCGGCTGAAAAAATGCTTTTAAAAGTTTTTAAAAAAGCCTCTGATGATCGTGCGGCTCAGCTGGGATCGTCAGAGGCTTCTAAAAGCATTTTTTTCTGCAACCTCTTCAGCTGAAGAGACTGTAGGAAAAAAAAATGCCTTTAAAAGCCTCTGGCGATCCCAGCTGAGTTGCCTGATCGTCAGAGGCTTCTAAAAGCATTTTTTTTCCTGCAACCTCTTACGGTTGTAGAAAAAAATGCTTTTAAAAGAAAAAAAAAAGTTGTCCATGCCCACCATCACATTATCCCCCGACAAGCCATGCCCACAAAATAAGCCACGCCCACAGAACCGGTAGTAAAAAAATTAAATCCCCCCTCCCCCCGAAGAAGAAAGCTTTTGGAAATCTACTGGAGATGAATTTGCAAGTTGGAGATTTGCAGAAAGAAGTGGAAATCTGCAACCTTGAAAAAAAATACAGAATAATACACATCCAATACATTAAAACCGAAACCTGGGTTACATGTAGTCCTCCCCTTCCAATCATAATTGGAATCCAGAACTTCCGTTGCTAAGCGAGGCAGTCATTAAGTGAGTGGCACACCATCTTACTTTTTTTTCTTCCGGCAGGCGTTAAGCAAATCACCATGGGTCGTTAAGTGTGGCCATTAAGTGGATCTGGCTTCCTCCCCCACCCGACCCCCCTTGACTTCGCTTGTTTGGCAGCTGACCGGGAAGTTAGCCAATGACCCTGGAATCTGATCACACGACCTCAGGATACGGCAATTGTTATAAAGCCATGTTAGCTGCCAAGTGCTCAAATTTGGATCACGTGACTGTAGGGATGCTGCGACAGTCATAAGTGCGAGGACCGGCTGTAAGTCACTTTTTTCAGTGCCAAAGTTGTAACTTTGAGCAGGCGTTAAATGAATGGACATAAGTCAAGGACTACCTGTCTTGTGTGAACGCACCTTTTGTGTGTTTGGCGGATTATAAGGGGATACAGGTAGTCCTCGACTTATTTCACTTAGTGACCATTCAAAATTACAAAGGCACTGAAAAAAGCGACTCAAGGACCATTTTTCACACTTATGACCGTTGCAGCATCTCCATGCCGTGATTTGCATTCAGATCCTTGACAACTGACTCACATTTGTGACGGTTAGGGGTCATGTGATCCCCTTTTGTGACCTTCTGACAAGCAAAGTCAACGGGGGAAGCCAGAGTGACTTAACAACTATATTTCTAATTTGAAGAACTTCAGTGATTCACTTAAACAAATATGCTGAGAAAGTCGTAAAATGAGGCAGAATTCACTTAGCAAATTTCTCACTTAGCAAGATACATTTTGGGCTCAATTGTGGACGTAAGTGGATGGCTGCATTCCTACATTACGGGTGCCCAAATACAGAAGCCACCTTTGGCTTCAGCACAGGAGGAAAATTCTCACAACCTACCACGAAAATCCTCAAAGGTGGTTTTGGCAAAAGGCAACTGGACTTCCTTGGTTTTTAAATTGAAAACGTTGCGCTTCTCGACCCAGAAGCTTCTTCAGTTCTAACTGGCTGGTGGGGAATGGGAAGATTTATATTCTAGGGCAGTGATGGCGAACCTTTTTGCCATCGCGTGCCAAAAGTGGGGGGAGCATGGGGGGTCACGTGTGCCCATGCCCCCACCCATACATAATTCAGTGCCCCCTCCCGCGCATGCGGGCGTGGACCCCCAGGCTCCCAATTTTGGCATGCGATGGCAAAAAGGTTACTGGTGTGCCCGGTAGATCCAATTTTTTGCCCTCCCCAGGCTCCAGAGTCTGTCTAGGAGCCCTCCCCCACCCACCCAGAGGCTCCCCGGAGGCCGGAAACGACCCGTTTCCCAACTTCCAGTGGAACCGGAAGACCCGAAAATCAGCTGGCCAGCACGCACATGCACGCTGGAGCTCAGCTAGGGCAACGCTCACGTGCCCACAAATATGGCTCCGTGTGCCACGGGTACCATAGGTTCGCCATCATGGTTCTAGGAGATTTATGTTCTATTTTTTTTAATTAAAAAGTTTTTTATTTTATAAACAAACAAACATACAATTCTTAATCAATCATACAGTGTATCTTCTGAGTACATCTTTTGTATCTTCTTGTTATTCCTCCAGTATTTATCATATCTTAATTTTATCATTTCATTTATTGTGACATTCCCCCCAAATTTCTTACTTTTCTATTAATACATTTATTTATCTTTTTATTTTAGTAAAAAATATTTTTTTCAACAACAGTTTTATCCCCAACCATCCTTCAACCCCCCCTCCCCACACACACCCTGACTTCCCAGAGCAAAAACAGGGTATAACATTTAACAAACATAAGCTAAAATAAACTAACTTACTACAAGATTCAAAACTCCCTCACACTCTTTAACTCCCCTTTTAAAAATTATTCATCAACCTTCCTTTTATAAATTCTCTTATCACATTTCACATTTGTTGCTAAGATCCTTTCCATACCTTCTTATCAATAAGACATTCTTCAAAATATAAGTTTCAAAACTTTTTTTTAAAAAAACTATCCATTAAATTTTAAGTTAACCATTTTAATACTTCAATAAGTTTTAGAAAGCTATCCAATTTTAATTAAGCCTTTTAACTTCAATGAAACAGTAAACGTTTCAGATTTATTACTAAGGTCCTCCTCAAAAGAAGTCTTTCTAGGAGCCTGGGGAGGGTGAAAACTGCCTCCCTCACCCACCCAGAGGCTCCCCGGAGGCCAGAAATGACCCGTTTCCCAACTTCCGGTGGGACCGGAAGACCCGAAAATCAGCTGGCCAGCAGGCATATGCGTGCTGGAGCTCAGCTAGGGCAACGCTCACGTGACCACAAATATGGCTCCACGTGCCACGGGTGCCATAGATTCGCCATCATGGTTCTAGGAGATTTATGTTCTAGAAATCCTTCCATTCCCCACCAGTCAGTCAGAACAGAAGAAGCTTCTTGGATGAGAAGCGAAACGTTTTCAAATGAAAAATCAAGGAGTTGTCTTTTGGGGAAGAAAGCTCCTTTGGGACAACCATGACCTGGACGATTGAGAAGCTCCATGGACATTAGGGTTGCCAGGTCTGCTTCCAAAAAATAGCGGACAAGCAGGGGGGCGGGGGGGGGGGGGTAAGTAGTAAAAAAATAAAAAAAAATTACAATTAAATTATATATTTTCTTACAAACATTTTAACACGCCATTTTAGGTCCGTCGACACAAGCTACAATACATTTTAAAAATGTGAACTGTACATAATTTTAGAATATATTTTTATTTTAATCTCATCATTAATTTTTTCGGAGAATCGTGTTCAATGGATATTCGATCTTTGTCTCATTCTAACTTATGAAAAAAAAAGACAAAACGCGATTCTCCTATCCTTATTCTCTTAGACTGTACAGCTTTAGATTACGTACCATTTCCTCATAAAGCTTTTGAATACAAAAAATGTCCACTATTTTGTGAAAAAAAATAGTGAACATAATGTGAAAAAAGCGGACCGTCCGCTCAAATAGTGGACACCTGGCAACCCTAATGGACATACTAAGAAAATAGCTGGGTTTCCCAAACACACATGAACATACATGACCCCATTTATGCCTGGACTAACGTGAAGTGCAAACTCAGCCAATCAGAACTGAGTTTGAGTCCTAAACCCTTTTATCTTTTGTTTGAAGCTGATCTTTGCACACTGCGTAGGCCATTTTTCAAGCGCTGCATTTCCAGCGCTGTTATCAACCATCAAGAGGCAAACCCTGATGCGAGAAGCTGTCCAGAGCCAAAAACTTGGCATCGTCCGGCTTAAAATGTTAGCAGGTTCATCCAGCCTGACCTCAAGTCCTCTTAAAATGCCTCATTTCACAAGGCGGCAGGGGTGAAATCCAGCAGGTTCGGATCTTTGCAATATCCTTCCCCCAGGAGTGGGTTGGGAATGGGGATTCTGCAATATCCTTCCGCCAGGAGTGGGGAGGGAATGGGGATTTTGCAGTATCCTTCCCCCCTGGAGTGGGTTGGGAATGGGGATTTTGCAATATCCTTCCCCCTGGAGTGGGGTGGGAATAGAGATTTTGTTTTTTGTTTTTTTTGTTTTTTTAATTTTTATTATATTTTTATTGTTAAAGAATAACAAAAAGGAAAAAAAATCAATACAAAAAATCAATAGTAAGGAGAAAAAAAAATTTCCCCCCCCCAACATGCTATACAAACAGAAAGGAAGTTTTAGGAACTTGAAGTCTTCAATTCTTCCAGAAATCTCTTTGATAAGGTACTGGTGCCGATTCATCCAATCTCCCAAGTGCAAAGTCCACAAATGGTTGCCAAGTGTTCCAAAAAACATTTTCTTTATATATACCACTTCTAATTTTAATATCACAAGTCAATTTATCATTTAATGCAAATTTCCATGTTTCATTGTACCATTCTTCTAATTTTAAGTCAACTTTTAATTTCCAATATCTAGCAATTATAATTCTCCCCATTATAACCAAAATCCTCACCAATTCTCTTTCTCCAGTTGTTAATGTTGTTTCATTCAATATTAATAATAATATGGTTTCCAATTTCAATTTGACCCGCTTCTTAATTATTTCAAATATTTCATTTTCTATCCTAGACCAAAAAAGTTCAACCCCATTACATTTACACCACATATGAGGTTATGTCCCGAGTTCCACTTTACATCTCCAACACATTTTATCCACTTTATTATCCATTTGAAAAAGTCTTATTGGGGTCAAATACCACTTCCAA